ATATTTTGCAATTCCTATTGCTTAAGAATTTTGCAAAAGAACCCTAACTTTTTCGTACTCTCAACTGCAAAGAGAAAAAAGGAAGTCTTATAACTAGATTTCAGTCACAAAAGTCTTTGATATAACTAATTAAGGGCTGGATATTGCAGATTTGACCTTTGTAGACGTTCATTCCTTCTTACTTTTTATTTGCTCAAAGAGAAAGTTTTGAAAAGTCTAGACACGAGTCCTAAGGTCGGAATAAGCGAATGACAAACACAGCTTTATTCCAATTAATATCTTGCTATCACTAATCTGTACATATTCACCTCAAAGGAAACTTAGAGGCAGTATTTCGTAGAATTTCATTAACTTTCATTACCTAAGCCTAGCTACAAGCTAAATTTCATATCAGTTATTTATGGAACTAAAAATAAAATTTACTTTGACTTAAATTATTTATTGTGTAAATTAGAAATGCATTTCTCTTTTTTTTTTTTTTTAATTTTATCAGAATATATGATGCTATTTCATGCATGCATGTTCATATTTTTTCAAATATTTTAAACAGTTAAATGTACCATAGAATTATATCAACAGGGTTCTAAGGGTTAACACTTGACTGTGCAGGTGTAAGATAATTGGTGGAATAGTATATTAGATGTGATTCAGAAAATGTAGTGATTTTTGTATCTTTAAGAATTTAAACCGAACAAAATACGTCCTATCAACTCTTAAATCACTAAGTAAGAACTTAAGTTTACGACACATATAGAGAAAATCTAGCGATTATTCCGTTATCTCCATCTCTCCATTATGAGATACTGGTTTAGTTTCGACTGCGGGCGAGGTCGCCATTTTGGATGTTGGATCAAATTTAGATTTTTATTAGCTTTTTGTTGATAACTGTTTTTATTGTAATCTGTTTAAAGTGTTCATTTTCAGAGTGTTAATGAAGTGGATCAAATCTGAAGTTACCACTCCGTTTTTTATTATGATTTGTGGATTTGTGTAAAAAAAAAAAGATACCATGATTCAAGAGAAGAGAAAATCGTGTGTTGATCATCACTTTACAAAATCCTTTCATCATAGCTTATCCTCTGATCTTCTTTATTCTTCATTGCTTCATCAATCTGACGATCAATCGTTTTCAGGGAATAATTTTCTGTCCGAAATATTAAATGATTTACAAACTTAGATTGGAAAATTCTTTGAAAGGAGTCGGTGAAAATTGAATCTTTTTTTCATTAAGTTTTCCTATTCCAAAACTCTCTATGTTATGGAATGCCATATACGACAGCCAACTGCTGACTGCTTACTGCCAACTGTCAGCTGCTTACTGCCAACTGCCACACATATTTGAGTAAATTTTGTATTTATATTGATATTTATATGAATTTTCAAAAAAAAAAAAAAAAAAAAAAACAGGCGCGGATCCAGGACATTTTTTTCCAAGAGGTCACCCTGGTAAAATTAAATTGACTAAATGACCATTATGTTTTAATTTATGTAATATTCAATATACAGTGTATGCCATTGATAAAGTACATTGTTTATTTTTATTTCCTTATTTGAAATAGGTTAAAAAAATGACTTTTTTCTGCTTTTAATCTTAAAAGAAGTAACACCCCCACCCCCATCCCCCCACCCCCAGAGACAAAACCTTTGAAGAGAGAAAATTAAAAAAAAAGATTTGTCGTTCGCAGAAGATGTTTTGAAAACAAATTAATATTTTCCATTATATTTTATAGTTAAAAATTTCCTCAAAGTAAAGATGTATATCTCTGTGTGTTATAATGTTTCACATTCAAATATCTTGGGGGTGGGGTGGGGGCATTTAAAATTTGTATAGTCATGGGTTAATGTATAAACTAAACGAACTAAAACTGACCTTGGACCCTCCACATAGAAAACGCCGATTAAACATTTATATATCTTTGTTTTTACAAATAAGATATGTTTTACATGCATAGATCTAGAGAGAGAGAGGTCCGGACCACCCCTCTAAAATTTGTAAAGTTATATAATGCACAAACTAAACCAACTAAAAGTTATTCAATGTATAAAATAAATAAACTAAGAGGGACCTTAGAACCCCCCACCCCCCCCCAAATCGCGGTTTCGTGTTAAGTTGGTATACAAAATGTCATAGACATGAAGTTATGAAGCATGAGAACCCCCTCTCCCCGGCCGAAATAATTATTCACATTAAGGAAAGGACTTTACGTTTTTTTTTTTCTTGTCAAGAAATTTCTGGGTTGGATTTTTTTTTAACATGAGTGACCCTCTTGGAAAAAATGTTATAGATCCGCGCCTGTTTTTTTTTTTTTTTTTTTTTTTTTTAATTCACATAAATATCAATATAAAAATATAACTTATTCAAATATGTGTGGCAGTTAGCAGTAAGCAGCTGACAGTTGGCAGTAAGCAGTCAGCAGTTGGCAGTAAGCAGTTGGCTGTCGTATATGGCATTCCACTATGTAGGTTTTTTTTTTTTTTTTTTTAAAGGCATTTTTGTTTTACCTGACACTCATGTTTTATATAACCGAGCATTTGATGCATATATTCACGCGGCTGTTCCCATCAGATAGTAGGAAAGTTCAAATATTCTTTTAGGTCTCTAATTAATATTTTGCGTTAATATACTTCTGTATCAAGTAACAGCTCAAGTCACCTTGTCTGTTTTAATTAGAGGATTCGTAACAAAGTTGTCAAGATGATTATCTCATGAAACAGGCGTTTGATTCAGCTTTCATCTAAAAAAGAAGAAGAAAAAACTTAAAGAAGCTCAAAATAACCCTGCATATGTCAAAATCCACAATTTCTGCTCCAATTATCGAATTCTTCTTGGGGCTTCAAGCAGCGAATTATCAGTCAATGGGGTTACTATGAAAACATATCCCCACACGAAGAATATGAAGTTTCACAAAAGCCATCGAACCGTCATTTTGAAAAGGAAGTGATGCTAAAGGTGAAATCAATTTCCTTCAAGAAAATGGCAAGAATTTAGGGAGAACCTCAAAATAATTTATCATGAAAAGATGTCATTCTACACTGCCCGTACGTACAGTATACCCTGTGAGTATTTCTCTCATTTTGTAAATTTTAAAGTTACCTGGTTGCATTAACAAAAAATTTTCAATTGATTCAAATATTTACAAAATGACAGTTCGCTACATATAACTAAATTATTATTAGGATTCTGAGCAATCGAAAAGACTTGTTTTGTTTATTGATACCCTTTATGTAGTTATCTGAAACACAATCATTGTGTAGCTTATTAAACATCCCTAAAATGTGTAGGGAACAAATGATATTAAACAGCGTTGTTTAATAAAGATAAGAATTAACGAGTTCTGCAAAATAAATTAAATTCGTGTATTTTAAGGCGCATATTTACTATCAACCGTAGGAATAAGATTGTCTTTTGTAAACGGGTTTGTACATATTGTGGACAGGACCCCCACTCTTTCCCCTCCCTCCTCTTATCCCCTTATAATCAACTCCGGGACTTGTTGGCATTACCCCCCCCCCACAGATTATCTCTTATTGTACTTATCATACCATAAGAAAAATCGGGAACACCCCACCCCCACCCCCGCACCACCACCACCACAAAAATAATCGTAATGTAGTGGGTGTGTTTTTGTTTGAAACTTATTTTGGGGTATACATAATAACTAAGTACATGTGTATATTAAATATAATCTTTGGGATAAAGGTCCATAAATCCCCAGGGATGAATATCGGGGGAGGGGGGTCCTGTCCAAATGTGAATTTTCATTTCACTGACAATCCATTGATTGCAAGTTAAAGCGAAATAACTTCCACAAATTCACCATGATGTCCAATCGAAATCAAGGACTCTTTGCTAGAGTTATCTTTCTTTGTCTGTGTAAGTTTGTCCCAAAATCTTCATGGTGTCAGGACGTAACACTTTTTTTTCACAAAAAAGTTATTATTTTTGGAAGCTTGTTATCACATCATTCCATTTGGAATTATCAAGTTATAGAGAATTTTTTTCACTAAGGGATTGGGGATAAAAACAGAACATGTTCCTATTTCGGGGAGGAGCGGGACTTTACTTCATACTTAATATATAAGGCATTCCTTACGAAGAGTTGTTTCCTGGCTACTTTCCTACGTTAATAACTTTGAAAAGTGAATTGGGAGGTGAAAAGCTGAAATTATACCGAGCATCAAAATTAAGCCACGATGTGCAGAATACTAGTACATGTATATGAATAGATGTTTGTTGACTATATTAAGGATGAAAACTCCGAAATAACAGATTGAAGATATAGAATTGGAAAAATAATTTTAAATTCATGTGTATTTTTGAGAAGCGATATACCCTGTCTTTCTTATGGGGACAGGACATGGAAGTGACAAATATCTCATTTGTACCTCCAGAAAATGTATGAACATAGAATTTGTGGTGCCTCTAACAAAGGACTATTTGATAAAGATCAATGACTAAATGATCCCAGGGTCTGGTATTCGCTTAACGAGAGATTTAAGCATAATATTCTGTGTCAAAATTAAATTCATTTCTTTGATTTATAATATTTGCATCACAACAATGAACATTGATTTGAAAACTTTGATTTTGCTCCCGATTCCCCCTTTTTTATCGTACGGTCACCTGAGGAGGGGAGTGGCGTTATTTACCTGGAGATCCCCAATACCCAAGAATACAGTTATACACGTTGCATTACACAGGAAGTCTGTGCTTGGTAATCAAGGTCAACATATTTAGTGTCTAATTTTGAGTAAGAAATACTTAAAAATTTGATTATTTCAATACAAAATTTATTTGTAAAATAAAAGTATTCATCGTAATCTTTTGAAAGGACAAATTAAAAAAAAGCGTTTTATAAACCTTTTCTTGTAATATTAAAGAAAAAATTAATGTTTTGTGGTTATGTTTTTTTGATTACTTTATCAAATTAAATCAAAGCTGTACCCCCCCCCCCCCCCCCCCCCCCCGTGGTAAACGACACAGACATAATTCACGGTCATAATAACTCATTTATTCCAGCAAAAAACAAGTCATATCAGAACATTCAGCAAAATTCGGTGTTTGTAAATTGTGAGGATTCTTTTCAGTGTTTATCTATATTTGTCTGGCAGTCCTTTGGGCCGGTATTTGTTCGGGTCTCCACCTTTTCGTCCCCATTCGTTGGCCGCTTGGTCAGCAGCCGTGTCTTCCGGTCCTTGGCCACTCAACTTGCTCTGGTAACTTTCCCTACCATCACTTATTATTAGAAAAAGAAACGCAAAAGAATTTACTTACATGCACTGACAGATTAATTTCAAATTATTTGATCACTGTTTTATATCATGCTGCATATCGTTTTGCCTTACCTGATGACCTTTGCTGCCCATGCACCCCCGGGTCCTCTTTTGGCGGCGTCATAGTTACCACGTGCATGGAAGTACTTGTCTGAATTCTTCCAGTTCGCTTCCTTCATGTCACTATAATGATACAATACGTTACAAGTGTGATGTAAAAAAGCATTACATTAGTTTATTACACACTTAGTAATAAATACAGGTTTTTTGCATATGCGATATGGCTGACGTCACAATAGCCGTATCAACCCTGCAGGGCTGATATGGATTTGCGGGGCTGATATCCGTATCAGCCCAGCAAACCCATATCAGCCCTGCAGGACTGATACGGCTATTGTGACGTCAATATCACACCCTTAGTAAATTAAACCACAATAACAGTACTTGTGATCATACACAATTTTGGTGGGTTCATATTCTCTTAATTTTAACTTTTTGAAAATAAGGTTAATCTTTATTTACAAATACATGTAATACTATAGAATATTTTCAAATTACGGATCAAGTGCATTGAAAGAGAGGTAGAAACAAACCCAAATCTTATGAGACATTAGACTATGTACATGTATGTAAGAAGTCTATGCATGATTATTTACTTATTTTCTTCTCAACTGAATGTGTTCTGTATTTTATTACAAAGTATGTAATAAATATAATAAAACATACCCTTTTCCACATCACATCCTGTATCAGCCCTCGACCAATATCAGCCCTCGGGCCTTCGGCCCTCTGGCTGATATTGGTGTCTCGGGCTGATACAGGATGTGATATGGAAAAGGGTATGTATTATTCTCTATGTATTTTCTTTTTCCCCCTTTTAAAGTAAATATATAAATCAAGATCACCAAACTGGTCATTGATCTATCAAATGAAGCTGGACAAGAGGTATTTTATAATTGCCCTAATACACATAACTTTGATTTTCAAGTACATATAATTATTTTATTTCTTCAGTTCTTACATTCATTTTTATGCCCCCAAAATCGAAGATTTGGGTTATATTTTTTGCCCTGTCCATCCTACTGTCTGTATGTCTGTACACGCATATCCATTTGTTTGTCCACAAAAAATCTAACCTTGCTCATAACTTTGAGTGGATGGGACTATGGTATTCGTATATCATAGGTGTATTCCTTGTGACAAGAACTTTTTTTGGGAACCACCAAATTTGAATTCTTGACCTTGTAGTTTGACCCGGTTTTACAAAACTTAACTTAACTTTTAACTTAACTACTAAAACTTTAACCTTGGCCAGAGCGTTTGAATTGTTGGAGCTAGGGCTTTCATACTTCAAATGCGTATTCATTGTGACAAGACTTTTCAATGGTTAAAAATATTTTTGACCTTGGAGTTTGACCTACTTAAAAAAATAACCTTGGTGATAACTTTTGAAGTTACCACTAGGGCTTTCATATCTCACAGGTATATGCCTTGTGACAAGACTTTCCCCTTGATACCAACAATTTATACCTTTTGACATTGACCTTTGGACTTTGACTTGCATCTGAGAAAATTCAATCCTCGCCATTAGCTTCCATACAGGAGCACCAGTGTATCACATACATTTTGTTTATTTCATTTAAAAAAGGAAATTTCTATGTTTTGTTCAGACTAAATAAATGTTTCAAAACCGTATATTTATTCCAATTTTAAATCTTACTCTAAGTATTAATTTTTACAGCAATCAACCATAGCATAATAATAACACAAGTGCAAGAGCTAGATTTATTAGAAATGCCCCTTACCTATATGCCCTCCTCATGTCCCCGGCTCCTTGAGCAGCCTGTTTAGCAAAGTCAGCTCCAGAGCGTACCCTCTCTTTGGCCTTTCGGAAAACATCTTTGGCCCGATTCACGCCGGACCTTACGACTGACCTGAATCTTCCTCCCAGACTTCTGGAACTACTCTGTCGGCTTCTCGATCTACTACTTCCTCTACTGCGTCCCCACCAACCCTCGACCATAGAGTGCTCCGTCAAAATGAACGCTACCAAAACCACTGCGATGATGGTTGTTCTCATAGTGAAACTGAAAAAAGGCATCATACAATTTTAATTGAATTGCAGAAGTTTATTATCATCTATTTGTCTCAGCAATGACAAATGAAGATTCCATTTAATTTATATTCTGTTAAACGTTGCCATGTATTTTATTTAAATATGTTCTTAAACTTTATTCAAAAATTGAGATTTTTCAGCGCACCTATAAAATATCTTTATTATACTACATAAACATGTACATTATAAACCTTGATACTTACATTTGTACCAATTTTCCCAGATAACTTCAAGACTAAGATCACGGTTTATATATACTCAAGACGACCGTCCTCGAATAATTTTTTGAAAATTGAATGTAAGTAGCTTCCTGTTTGTTTTCCGATGTAATTTTTAAGACCGTACTAATTAGAATTACTTCCCACTTTGTGTATTTTGAGAAGAATTTGTCAAACGGGCGTGAACAAGTAAACTATTTACATAAGTTCTGCAAGACCTTGGAGTTTAACTTGCATCTGAGATTCTTTAACCTTAGTCATTAGCTGTCATACAGGGGCATTATTGCTGAATTAAAAAAAAAAACATCTTTATTATAAACATTTATTTTTTTGACATTTAAAAGGCAATAGAAGAAGTATGACAAATATACATGATTTTAAATTGTAGTTCTTCATATTATTGAAAATAATTTAATAAGAAAATGATGAAATATAATACTTTTCCCACTGCCCTATCTCTTTAAGTGATTCAGAACATGACTGCAATAACCTCAGCATGGTCGTACTATGTCATGTGGAGTAAGACAGCTTGTGCCAATATCATATTTTTTTTATTTTAGAAGCAAGTGCACGTGATTGAAAGAAATTCTCGTATATGCAAACCAATACTGGTCATGGCTTAAAAAATTAGAGAACGATAAATCACACCTTTATTGTTCATCTGTAAAAAGGCAACAACTTTCGGGTTTTTAAGAGATCGTAGTAGTCAGCCTTTCTTGGACATTTTTGAAAGTAAAGTGAAATATACTTCCTTATTGTCCAGCCGGGTTTACGACCTCCTTGTGTACACGGAAGACCATGATATCATAAGACCACTTTTCATAAAGTAATTGGTTATAGCAAATTAGTTTTCACTTTGAATTTCGGTCAATTAATTCTCACAGCAGTTTGCTTCGTAAGAAATTCAGACCAAGACAAAAATATTGTGAACGTCGATGATAAAGCTAAGCTCAAGTGCATAATAGCTCTTTTTATTTTTACAACGGCTGTATTATAACATCACCCCGCTTGAAAAGTTGGAGGGTTAGGTTATAGTGATCGGAATGTCCGTTTGTCTGCACGTCCGTCTGTTCCGCTTTAGGCTACTGCCCATCTCTTAACCGCAGCTCCTCTTTTAATGAAACTTCCACAGAATTTTTGTAACATAGTGCCATTGTGCAACTCCTATTTTACTTTTTGATGCGACACATATTTCAGTTTTCCCACAGCAAAACTTGGACACTGCCATTTTTCTGTAATATTGAAGGATATACCCATTTCGTATACACAATTCCCTCTATACCACAGAATAACATTTGAATGATACTTTCACAGATTCCTTATTACACAATGACATTGTGCAAACTTTGACATTGGCCTCTTATTTCATTCACCTTTCAAGTACATTGTTTACAGTGATTAATTATCAAAAGTAAATGGCAAAGGGGAAGATAATTCCTCTTAGTAGAATACAGTTTAATAGAGCCTTGGTCAGGATCAGAACACTTGCAATTGTTTAAATGGATCAGATGTTCAAAAATCTTGTAAAAATAACCTTCCTTATTAGACTTTTACTCTTTTTGCCTCTGATATGCCCAGGAAGAGACAGATGGAATCAAATAAAGCAAGTGTGTGGATATTTAAAATTTACCAATAGTCTTCAAAAATCGAGTCTTTTGGTTGCAAGATAAAACCTTCCTCGGTATTTTTTTGTCAGAGTTATTTGTAGATAACGCAGAATTGAACTTTTAATTTAAATGTTATGCAACTGATGACAAAGCATATTCGTTTATGTTTATGTTTATGTATTCTGCAATTTTATCCATAAAATACATACAATAATAATCATCAACTTTTTACGCCCCCATAATCCAAGATTCACTCTATCCGTTTGTCTTTCTGTTTTTCTGTCTTTCTGTTCTGAGTTTTGATTGCAGGACAAAACATTCCTCAGTAGTTATTATCAGAGTTATTGATAGATTTGGCTGGATTGAATTTTTGATTCACATGTAACTAATGACAAAGCATATTCGTTTTAACCAGAAGGGGATTCACAGCTGTACGTTGTAGAGACGGAATAAATGATTGTTGACTATGTATTACCGGTATTTTAATTTCGGTTGTATATGATGATCGAAATTTAAAAAACAAATTATAAAATACCAAATTTAACTCTTTTTTTTTTAAATTGCGTTATATTTTTGATAAAACTAATTTGCAAAACGTAGTTCAAATTGAATAAATGATGTTAAATTTTTATAATTTTCTCTTTTAGAACAATATCCTCTACAAAAATAAGATTTTTTTAATTACAATTTGTCCAATACAAAGGAAAAGATAGGGTAAAGCCCCTGTTTGCCCCTGATTTTGGGAGTCTTTCAGAATGATGCAACAGATTATCTATAAAAACCTATTGTCATCCCTGCCACAAAATGAGTATTGGTTCCAAGTTTTGAAATTCACAGAGGTGACAGAGCGGTAAGAAAATACTAGTACGTCAATTTTAAATTTCTCTTTTTATGCAAATTTTCATAACTTTTACAGCACATTTTGTTTCGGAAAACATAGAGCACAAGCTTGCCTATCTACCAAAGTTATATATTTTATACACTAGTATCAGATGCAATTTATGTGTAAAAATCTCAGATAGGCAAGCTTGTGCTCTCTGTTTTCCGAAGAGGAAAGTAGCTCATTTGATGAAATTCTACCAGAACTGAGGGAATTCGAATGTCCTACTTCTGCACCCTATAGTGGCTTCCCACAGGCACCTGACTTTACTTATTTTTCTTTTAATAAAAAAATATATACCCATACCCAATAATAATTATTTATTATTAGGTATGGGTATTTTTTTTTATCAAAAGAAAAATAAGTAACGTCGGGTGCCTGTGTGGCTTCCATCTAAGCGTTGAATCCAAATTGTGCTGGTTATGATGCAGGCATCATTTTAAGTTCTTTTAATTACAAAAATCATACTAGTAATTTTACCAGTGTTCTGATTTTTACATCAAATACAGGTCTGGTCAAAAAAGACTATTTGGTGGTGCCCCCTCAATAATTTTTAATTTTCTTTTGCATCCTACGGGCCTGTAGTTATATTCTAATCTTCACATGATATTGGTTTCAAGTTTTAATGTTTGTGCAATCAAAATAAATGAATGAACTTGTTGCTTCCCAGCTCTTTGCTTCTATGTTAACGTTTCAAAAAGTTTTTTTTTTAAAAATTCATTATACCACGGTATCCAAGCTTTTGGCTTTGCAAATCGTCAAAGACATTCTTCAGCAATGCTCCAAAGTATAGACTGAGACAGTTGACAATTACAAAAATGTCATTTTCAACTCAGGTATTTTAAAACCAATTGTTGCCTGATATGAGTTTAAGGTTACACATATTTTCATCAGAGAGTTTGGGGAAATGCTGTTCTACATGCCAAGACTTATAGTAAAGATAAAATATGTAACAAGTCCTTTTAGAGAAGAGCTCTTAAAACATTGCCACTGATATTGTTACTTCTTAGAAATTAATCATAAAGACATGATTAAAGGGTAGAGAAAACATCAGTTTTATTCCAGCCATAGAAACACAAAAACTTATTAATAATAAAAATTGAGCGCTCAGTGTCATAAGGATTTTTTTATCTATATTTGTCTGGCAGTCCTTTGGGTCGGTATTTGTTCGGGTCTCCACCTTTTCGGCCCCATTCGTTGGCCGCTTGGTCGGCAGCCGTGTCCTCTGGTCCTTGACCACTCAATCCGCTTTGGTAATTTTCCCTTGCATCACTAATATTACATTTTAAAAAAAACGCATAATAATTATATATGATGAACTATAGTAAGACTGAAGTCAATTAAAAATTTTATATTCAAATTTTTTTCCGATCTTGTATTTTCACTTAAATCTTTCCTAACCTGATGACCTTTGCTGCCCATGCACCGCCGGGTCCTCTTTTGGCGGCGTCATAGTTACCACGTGCATGGAAGTACTTGTCTGAATTCTTCCAGTTTGCTTCCCTCATGTCACTTTAATAATGTGAGATTTCTCATATTTATTTTATTACCTTTTTCTGGTGACTATTTTTTGTACAGGTTTTTTTGTTGATAAAACAAGTTTAACATTGATGTGCACTCGTAATAGAGAGATATGAGATTTTTTGCCGCAAGATCTCTGACGTGCAAAGCCGTCCATATCAAATAATATTGTTTTTTTTTTTTAATCAGTACATGTATATCCAAATTTCTCTATGATTATGTACACAACAAAGAAAATCAACATTTTTTTCCGAAATTTCTGCATCTGATTCTGACCTCCTGTTTTAGAAATCCAAATTTCTAATACATGTGCTAATCACACAGTATACGTAAAATGTACGAGTGCATTCTCATTTTGAAGGAACTCTGAATAAGAAAGATTTTAATGTGAATGCATGTTTGTAGCACCCAAAAAACATCACCTCCAACATTTTTTGGTCATTTAAAAGAAGATCGGATAGAAGTATAAATTTTAAAAGAATTGTAACGTCTTTGAATTTTAAACCTTATTTTTAACAGAATCTTTTGTGGAAAACGTGGCGAAAATGTAGTATAGTCTTTATATATGTCAAAGTGTGCTCTTTCAAAAATGTTTTGCATGTTTTCATGACAAAAATTCTTTTACTCACATTGTTAGAACATTTTATTCTTACCTGTACGCCTTCTTCATGTCTCCGGCTCCTTGAACAGCCTGTTTTGTAAAGTCAGCCGCAGCTTTTACCTTCTCTTTGGCCTTTTGGAATGTCTCTTTAGCGCTTTTAAAACCAGCTTTTACTGCCGAACTGATCCTTTCTCCCACACCTGGTTTACTTGGTCCGCTTCTCGGTTTACTCCCTCTCGTACTCGGTTTACTCCCTCCTCTACTCGGTTTACTTTCTCCACTACTCGGTTTACTCCCTCCATTACTCGATTTACTCCCTCCACTACTCGATTTACTCTCTCGACTACCTCCCCACCAACCTTGTACGACAGAAAGCTCTGTCAAAATGACGGCCAACAAAAGCACTGCCATGATTTTTGTCCTCATTATGTATCTGAGAAAAAAACCCAGTGTATTTATCAGATCAAACTACAATAGGTTATTCTGAGTCGTTCAGAGCCCCCATTCGCTTTGGTGTACCTCCTCCCCCACCATTAGTTTCCCTTATTTCTACATATATGAATTCTAGTTGTAGTATTCAAAAATTGCAGCAAAATTATTTTAAAAAAAGAATTAACAGGCAGAAATTAAAAAAAAAAATAATTTGATATCAAAATGCACATCTCGTATAAGTGTTCATACAAATCAAGCCAGCATACTTGCATTCAAAATAATTTTCTCAGTATGACTTTAAAACCATGTACCTCGGCTTCTTTATCCAGCTAATGACAAAACATTTTGATGTACAAGGCAATTATAGTCCCCGTTTGTTTTCCACGAGATTTTATTTTTGCGTAATTATGATAAATTCAAGGGAAAATTGATTGCCACATAGGAATTACATAATGCCTGCAACCCTAGTAACAGGTTTCAGATATGAAAATATTTTGGAAAAAATGCATAGCGCATGCATAAATGAAAATAGAATCTATTAGTTAGGGAAGTTCAAATTAACACATTCAAATATTTGTACATGTACCGATCTTCAAATAATTGAACCTATATCTTTAAACTAGAGGTACTGTGAGCAATGAGCTCACTAAATGATACCCCCCGCCTCCCATATGGTTATAACTGATGACAAAGTCCATGTTTTGCTGTGGCCGGGAAACCCAAAATATGTGTCGGATGAAAAAGTAAAATAGGAGGTGCACAATGGCAATATGTAACTAGTGCTAATTGTAACGGGAACCGTTACAGATGTTCCCCAAACGCTCCCCAACTCCCTTTTGGTGCCATATTCCCTGTAAGCTTCATTAGATAAGACAAACTCGATGCATTTGAGACTTTAACAACGTTTACCGAGAAGTGTACAAAGTTCATTCAAATTTTAGCATTGCACGCGTGAGCATGTGAATGCATGTTCGTAATGACCATATCATCTTGTCTACACAATCTATATATTTAAATATACTAAATATTAAAGTATTTAATCCAAAAGTATTAAAAAGATACGCTCATTCAAGTGTTTTTTTATTTTGCTCATTTCACATGCACGCACGTGCATACATGAGCATGGTAACCATATCTTCTTGTAGATGTCCGTTACATCTATGTATGTTCTAAATCTCACCCCGTTTGGTTGAAAACGAAGGGAGTTATAGCTGTTAAAGTTTCAGCCAATCAGATTGCAGCGCACGAACATGCACGTGTGTGCATGTGCATGGTGTCCATATTTTCTTGTAGTAGTCCAGTATACCTATCTATGTTCCAAATCCCATCCTGTTTGGTTGAAAATCAAGGGAGTTATAGCAATTTAAAGTTTAAGCCAATCAGATTGCAGCGCACGTGCATGCACGTGATTTCATGATTATTGCTATATATCATGTTGTAGGATATACTAAAGTAATGCATGGCTATTTTCAAAATTTCAAAGGATTTCGTCAAAAAACAAGAAAGATATTGAGACTTTAGTTTCAGCCAATCAGAACGAAGCGCACGTGCATGCGCGTGAGATCTTGCTATTTTGACCATGTCATATTGTCTATGCTTCTAATATATTCTTATATTATAAGTTTCAAAGCATTTCATCAAAAATTTTAAAAGTTACGCCTATATCAATTAAATCGGTCATTTCACATGTTGCACGTGCACGCTCTTGCAAGCACGTGCGCGAAAAATGACCTTCGTTCCGCAAATCTACATAACATGTCTACTGACCCTAAAAACATTTCACCTTAGTCGGATGTATAGTTTACGAGATCATTCCCGGACAAAAAAGTACCCAGGAAGAAGAAGAAAAATAATAATAATAATAACTAGAAAGTCTGCTATTGCAAGCAATAGCATATGTCGCCCCGTATTAGACAAGACTTTCATTTTTATCATCACTAAAACAAAAGTCTATAAGCTAAGTTTGAAAACCTTTGAGTTATATCAGTCCTTTCCATTGGAAACGGAAGACCTTAATTCGGTACATCCCTCTCATTATTTTTAGAATCGGTAGGAGAAGAAAGTAGTGCAGGAAAATTACAAGTTCCTCAATTTGCAGACTTGCATAAACGAAATCTGGCAGATGTACTGAACTGAGCCTCATACTTGTTAATTGGCAGTATCTTTCCTATCATAAAAGCTTGGGAAATGTAATTTATGAAGAAGATCAGCCGAATTATTTTGTGTATTGTAACGCCAGTGGGAACTCTGAAATTTCCCTCTTTCACTTTCATTTTAGAGGTTCTACCGAAAAACGAATCTGACATGCCACCATCAATTCGAGCATTTCTGCATTGCAGAGAGCTGATGTGTGTTATGAGATGATAAATCATGTGTGAACTTTCTCAGTTTAGCGGAATCATGAACATTTTCGGCGAGATGAATGTTTTGTATACAGTGGTGATCAAGGCTTTGCGAACCATCAGGAGCGGATCAAAGAATTTATGAATGAATAAAAACTATGGAAATGACGTACCAATTTTTTAATTTATACTTGCACTATCTAATGAAATGAATAATATACAAGTGATAGATATACAAGAAAACGCGAAATGATAATAAATGCAGCTGACAATCGTTATTTTTTTTATATAGATAAAATAAAATATTTATAAATTCAAGAGACAAAACAGAAGGAGAATGAATGATGGCAAAATATCACATGACGGGAACTGAATTTTATGAATGAAGATTTTAAAAAGTTACTTGTAAGTTGTATATGTTATATCTGTGTATTCTACTTGGCTGTGTGCTTCAAAAAAAGGGGGGGGTCGTCTTGAACATAGTAAATAGCCATAACGTTTGAACGGTAAGTACTAGGGCTTTCGTATTTCAAATATGTAATCCTTGTGAAAGGAACTTTTATTGGATACGACGAACTTTGACCCTTTGACCTAGACCTTGGAGAACACATGTGTACATCTGAATCTTTTTTTCTGTTTCGTTTCTATGGCAACCGTGAGCGACTCATTACAATTATTTTGAAAGTAGAAATCACTTTGACACATTGCAAGGAATAAACATTGAAAGTTTCAAAACGATTGCCTGAGTAGTTATTGAGAAAATCGAAATTAAAGAATTTTTACTTTCACCTGGTTTCCATGGCAATAATCGATTATATGAAAATTTTAAATACGAGTTGCAGAACTACAGATACTAATCCTTAAAATAAGAAAAGTTTCATGACGAACGTTTAAGGGACCAGAGAGAACACTCTCGGACAAAATTTGTCGCTTTTTACAGGTTTCCATGGCAACGGTAGACATATTGGAACTGAACGACCTCACTGCACAACTACAACCAGTGATCGTCCTTTGAGGAAAGTTTCAGGAAGATTGTCCCAGCCATCTCCGAGAAACAGCCTGGATAAAAAAAACATGCGTACAATATCAATATGTCGTCCCCGACTTCGTTCGGGGCGACATAATAACTCCTGAATTTTTCTCATCAATAACTCCTGAATTTTCCCCATCAATTCGAGCATTTCTGCATTGCAGAGAGCTGATGTGTGTTATGAGATGATAAATCATGTGTGAACTTTCTCAGTTTAGCGGAATCATGAACATTTTCGGCGAGATGAATGTTTTGTATACAGTGGTGATCAAGGCTTTGCGAACCATCAGGAGCGGATCAAAGAATTTATGAATGAATAAAAACTATGGAAATGACGTACCAATTTTTTAATTTATACTTGCACTATCTAATGAAATGAATAATATACAAGTGATAGATATACAAGAAAACGCGAAATGATAATAAATGCAGCTGACAATCGTTATTTTTTTTATATAGATAAAATAAAATATTTATAAATTCAAGAGACAAAACAGAAGGAGAATGAATGATGGCAAAATATCACATGACGGGAACTGAATTTTATGAATGAAGATTTTAAAAAGTTACTTGTAAGTTGTATATGTTATATCTGTGTATTCTACTTGGCTGTGTGCTTCAAAAAAAGGGGGGGGTCGTCTTGAACATAGTAAATAGCCATAACGTTTGAACGGTAAGTACTAGGGCTTTCGTATTTCAAATATGTAATCCTTGTGAAAGGAACTTTTATTGGATACGACGAACTTTGACCCTTTGACCTAGACCTTGGAGAACACATGTGTACATCTGAATCTTTTTTTCTGTTTCGTTTCTATGGCAACCGTGAGCGACTCATTACAATTATTTTGAAAGTAGAAATCACTTTGACACATTGCAAGGAATAAACATTGAAAGTTTCAAAACGATTGCCTGAGTAGTTATTGAGAAAATCGAAATTAAAGAATTTTTACTTTCACCTGGTTTCCATGGCAATAATCGATTATATGAAAATTTTAAATACGAGTTGCAGAACTACAGATACTAATCCTTAAAATAAGAAAAGTTTCATGACGAACGTTTAAGGGACCAGAGAGAACACTCTCGGACAAAATTTGTCGCTTTTTACAGGTTTCCATGGCAACGGTAGACATATTGGAACTGAACGACCTCACTGCACAACTACAACCAGTGATCGTCCTTTGAGGAAAGTTTCAGGAAGATTGTCCCAGCCATCTCCGAGAAACAGCCTGGATAAAAAAAACATGCGTACAATATCAATATGTCGTCCCCGACTTCGTTCGGGGCGACATAATAACTCCTGAATTTTTCTCATCAATAACTCCTGAATTTTCCCCATCAATTCGAGCATTTCTGCATTGCAGAGAGCTGATGTGTGTTATGAGATGATAAATCATGTGTGAACTTTCTCAGTTTAGCGGAATCATGAACATTTTCGGCGAGATGAATGTTTTGTATACAGTGGTGATCAAGGCTTTGCGAACCATCAGGAGCGGATCAAAGAATTTATGAATGAATAAAAACTATGGAAATGACGTACCAATTTTTTAATTTATACTTGCACTATCTAATGAAATGAATAATATACAAGTGATAGATATACAAGAAAACGCGAAATGATAATAAATGCAGCTGAC